TTTATTTCCTTCTACAGTTATTTGTAACCTTATAAATAGGGTCTTCTACATTGTAATATTAACAAAACAATATAATACAATTTATATTTCTTGACATGGTATCAGAGCTGTTTCGATCCTAAATAAATTGACTTTTGAATTTCGTTTCCGGCGAGCGGCCTTGAGCCGCTCGTCCGGCTACCAATGTTGTTCGTGATAATCAATGTAACAAAGAGGAGAGGGAAAAATATCAAAAAAAGGAATAAAAATCAAATTTGATTGTTGAGGAGGAATTGCGCAGTCAAATACTTGGGTTCCATTCGGCTAGGATTTGCCCTTAAAACCCGATTAACAAAGTAATCGCTCTCCGCAAAAGAAGGTACTGAATTTGTCCAGGGATTCAGCAAAATTGCTCGTGGGCAGTGAAAAAAAAACGTAGTCTTTTGTGGTTTCTTAAAGGAAACTGTAAATTTCTGTTAAACTTTTGAAGTGGAAAATTTTTGGGCAAACTAACTGAGGGTTTTGAATAGCAAAACATTGGTGAAATTGGGTTATTGACAGTGCCTACCAGAGAGGAATTCATGGTTCTTTTGCAAAGGTCAGGTCTTGTATTCAATCAGGTTTCGAAGATTGCATTCAAAAAAACTAAAAAAAATCACGTTTCAATACGTGTGTTCATTTGACTCTTGTTTACTCCTGGTCTTCGGTTTAGATTTCTTCATTGTGAAGGATTTACCAAAAATCAGAGATTTTTGCCAACGGGCTTTCGTTATCTTTGGGGATAGATTATAGGTTAATCGATTGTTTAGGTTAAATTAGGGAAAGTAAGTTGAATTGATTAGATTTTTGGTACAGGTGCTTTCCAGGTTTAAAAAAAAAAAATTCTGTGAATTTTAGTTTTATGTTTCATCTGGTCTTAAATACTTGGGTTGGATTGGATTCTTTGATTGTTCCATGGAGTGTTTGAGGAAGAAGAGGAAGGGGGTGGAGATCTCAAGAAGTATGTAAAGAAGAAGTTGAGGAACAAACTTCATTGGCAGTATTATGGTCACATTTATCCTTGGAAGATTATTCAAGGAGGAAAAAGAAATGCAGGGAATATGAGAAAGGCAGGAATCTTGGCGAACACAGTCACTTGTAATACTTTGATAAGCTTTCTGTGCAAATTT